TGGTGCTGGCCGCGGCCGAGCAAAGCCTTTCCCCTCGCCCGGCCCCGCGGAGCCGGCCGGCGGCGGGCTGTGCTGCTTGAGACCCCCGGCCGCAGGCTCCGCTGCACGTCTGGGGGCAGGGGAAGAAGGGAAGGAAGGAGCTGAGGTTTGTTTTGCTTGCTTGTTTGCTTGCTTTCCCAGCGTCGATACTCTCTACCTGGCAGAAAGGAAAAGGGAGAACAAGACTCTTTGTCCGTGCTTCTTTGTTAGACTGGTGGGCTGTCGTAGCTTCCTACAGCTGTTTAAAGTCATTCTGCTGGGGAAAGATGGGGTTTCTTTCAAGACTCGGCTGGTAATTGATGCTCTCTAGGCATCGCTGGAGTTTAGCAACAGGAATCCAGCATTACATCTGACCGGCTTGCGTGAATCAAGATTTTTTAGCATCAGTCTGCCCTGACAGGTTGAGGACTCGTAATTCACCCTGTCTTGTAGCTCTGTCAGCGGTGGAGGCTGTGGTGTGCTTGAGTGACTCCTGGAGCTGCAGGCGGACTGGCAAGTCGTGTTTGTAGATCAAATCCTTCTCAGAAAGCTACCCACTCACCCTCAGCCAAAGGAAGAGCAGGTTAGAAACTGATGGTCCATACTTTGTCTCCTCCCACCCTAAAACCATCTGAGAAATTTCCCCCCTTGGAGAAGTGTCAATAGACTGGCTGTGCTTACATAAAGGATCGAGAGACCGAGTTTCTGCTCCTGCCATTGAGCTCTTGTGGGATCTTAAGCACGTTACTTTGTCGGCAATTTCTTGTGCCCGTTGCTCGTCTTGTCTATATGCCGTCTTGTCTACATGCCCTGACTCGTCACGTGTCTGAATCCTGCATTTCTGCCTCTCACGGGCAGTTGTGTGGACACGTTACCCGTGAGAACGTGGTGAATATTTGATCTTTGTGGCACACATTGCCTCTCTTTCAGGGAGAGGTGGAATATAAGAGAGGCAGGCCACTCTGCCCGTTCTCAAATTTGGCAAATTTCTTAAATATTTCTTTTTTTCTAAGTCCTCATTCTGCCCCAAAGATAAGGTATTACAGTAGAAAAGGAAGAGAACAGAGGTGAAAAAGGGTATTGTAGTGCAGAATGGAATTACAAACAAGGAAGACAGGCTTGCTTTCCCATAGCAAAAGGAAATAGTGCAGGAAAAAGTTATAACATGGAAGAGCGCTTACCTGTGGTGTCAAAGGGAGGGATGCATTGAACAAAGAGGGTAACAGAGTAAGAGTTACTTTTAGGGCCATCAAATAGCAACTGCTTACCATTTTAAGAGCCAGTAACACCTGTTTATGATTAAGTGCTACCTTTTCCATGCTAGAAATTTCTTCCCTTTCCATCCCAACAAACACTAAATCAATTCTTTAAGGTATCCATGTTTTCACTGAGGGAAAGGAAGTCTTTGGTGTCTACCAGGACAAGAAAGTAGTCATTTTTACCCTTTTTTTTCCAAAACAGTTCTTATCCGTACCGATACAGTTAACAACTAGTGTCTTGAAAATATGCAAGATGCCACTTGACCGTTATTCAGAAGAAACAAAGTCCATTGTGAAAATTTGGAATATTTCTTAGATGGGAAGCAGAGGATGGGTCAGATAAAAATAGCAGGTTCATCTTGAGGTTGGAGCTGGGTCAAACAACTAAAGGATTTGGGATAGGAAAAGAAGATCTTATCTCTCATTTCCATTTGAAGATCCTGAGAAGAGTTGAAATAATGAAAGTGGGAGAAAACATGCTGATAATAGTGTCAGTGCAAGAAATAATGCTCTGTTCACTGCAAGTGCAGCGTATTCTCTCCATTTTAATTCATTAGAACAAACAGTTAATTCTGATGTGTAGCAGCTGGCAGTAGAGCAGACAATGCTTCCCTTTCCATTAACTAAACAGCTATAAGATGATGCCCTGTTTCAGGTGTTCAGAGCAGATGCTATTTGTTTAGGTTTTGTTTAGACTGTTGGGGCATATCCAAGATGCTACGGAAATCCAACAGAAGTTTTTCTCTCTAGGAGATTCTCTCAAGACCTTAGTATAGGAGTGAAGTCTATAAATATGGCCAAGCTTATTCTTTTCTTACTCATATCTCTTGCAGGTGGGCTCAGATATTAGCTGATTTTTTAATTTACCTCTGTTAATTATTTTAAATGATGTTACTGCAGGTGTAGCACCTGGATTCCTTACTTGAGGGAATGAAATCCTGAGACTTCCTGGTAAATGTTTTTTTCTGTATTTATGTGGGCAGGCATGCGGCATGGTTTGGTAGCACAACAGCCACAGAGGACACATCTGGTCAAGTTCAAGCCACTTTAGCAGTCGCTGTCCTGATGGGGTTTGCCAAGCACTCGTGATGAGAAGCATTTAGTTTGGGGGCATTCTCACTGCCCTGAAAGTGCTGGAAAATGGAGAAATGCTAGAGAGTTGGAGGGGATATGTGGAAATATGGGGCAAGTGTCTCAGGAAGGGAGACAATCTGAGGAGAAAAGACAGAGGAAATAAAAGAGACAGAACCTGTCAGGTAGAGTGGACACTGAAGGAAACTGATTAATGAAACAAACTGACAGACCCAAAAGTGGCAGTGAAAGGAATCGGAGTAAAGCAAAGTGGATCATGGATAAAGGTTACCTGAGAGAGGGGGGAAACTGTAACAGGCAAATAGATAGGAAAAATGGCAAGAACATCCAAGGAGGGGTGGGGAAAAAAAAGGGAGTTGGAAGATCTTTAGAGCTGTTTGATTAGGTTTTGCATTTTCTGGGACTTGCTCATCTGCTGTGTGTGACAAGCTCTCACTGAACATGGTAAGGGCAGCCTAAAGGCAAGTTTATTGTATCAGATAGCATGGAAAAGGTGAAACTTTTCCATAGGGTCTTTCCTCCCCTATACAGTGTATGAAGTCAGAATCATAATTGTTTTCCAGTCAACCTACCCTCCCAGAAGTTTAGTTGAAGATCAAGAGAGTCTGTATTTCCTGGGCTTCAGGAAGGAAAATTATGTTGGTTTAGCATATTGCTGTGCTGTTACGACTGCACCAGATATGTTGTTTGTTTTGTTTTTGTTAGTCTGCACAATTAGATTTAAGCAACCATAGGCCACCAGCACAGCTTTCTGCTTGCCATGTCTGTATGTATTTTTTAAATCTCAGTTTGCAAATCTTTTAAGCATGCTCAAATTTTTAATAGGAAAGCAGCTAATGAAATAGTGCTAGGAAGATACCTGGAAGCTTGTTGCTACTGGAGTGGGATGAACCAGCCGTTGGTTTAGATAACTGACTTTAAGCTTAGCTACTGGAAAGGTACTAAGCTGAAGAAAAGGAATGCAACTTTTTGAGGTTGGATTGTTCTCTATTAGCCCTGTTTTGCTGCATGAAAAAAGGGAGTTCATTGTGTTAATATAAACCTCTTCTAAAACTTTTCTTCTTGTTAGTGGGTGGTGTTTGGGCAGAAAGAGTTCTCATTTTAGAAAAGTACTAGCCTCAGCTTAGTTCATTTGAACTAGTCCAGATGAAACAATGTTTTCTATGAGTACAAATTAAAGAGGAGGCAATGATACCTGCTAAAATAATGCAGTTTGAATGAGTGTTTTAATCTCTTGTCCTGCCAGATGAGTAGGAATGGGATTAGATTCATTGAAGTGTGTACTTTAACAGTTACGGTTTCAGCTAAGAATAGTTATTATTGAACAAAAGTTTCAAAGCTTCACCATTTCCACTGTAGTTTTCTTTTGGATTCACTCAGCAGTCAGTGTCTCTTATCATTATGTCTCTTATTGCTTTTTAAGATCTCAGTTTGTAATCACTGAGTTCTAATAGTTACACAGTAATGAATATTTTCATTTTTGATGCATATTTAAAATCATCAGTTTTCGTGACCTGATTAAAATATGTGGCTTCAGTCTACTGGAAGGGGCAACTGATGTGATAACTTCTGCAGCACCCATCCTTATAAAGTGGGATAGAATCATGCTTATAAAGTAGGACGGAATAATTTAAAAGCTATATTTAGGTGCAATTTTGGCTGCTTACTTGGAGTAGCTGAGGTAGTTACTCCAGTAAAATAGGTGTGATTTATTAAGGGTATAAAGTTATTTGGGGTGGTTTTTGTTGTTGTTGTTGCACTGCCCTTTTTTCTGGCTACTGAGCTCCTTCTCTAATATCCAACATGATATTTTCTTAGAGGAAAAGATAAGCTGTTAGAGCGGCTTCCTCTGCCGCTCCCTTTTCCACATCGGAAGCCTGCAGGATTACAAGGGAGGGACTTAGTCAAATCTAATTCACAGATATTTGATTTTTATTTTTTGTAGTGTTGGTGCAAGTGCCAAGCTGTGAGCTTTGGGAACGAGAGCTGCCTATATCTGTAACCAGACCTTATGGTCATTTGCACCACAGGGACCGATGTTTTGCCCGATCTGTATCATGAAAGGCTGGGGACTGAACAGTTTTCAAAGCTGCGCTGGCAAGGAATTAGATGTCTCTCAGGATCTAGTATATTGTGTTGTGGGGAAGGAGGAGGAGGAGGAGGACAGGGAGCAAAACGTAAGTGGGTTTGTAGATAACAGCCTTGCCGAGTTCCCCAGTTTTCATCAGAGGTGACTGATCCCCAGTAAGGATGTATCCATTCACTAGTTTATGGGGATAGAATCTCGACTGAGTGAGTTATGCAGCTGGCTTTTTGTGACTATATTGCTTTAGTTTGACAGTAGGCTTTAAGTGGTTGGGGAAAGACTGATTTACACAGGAGTGTTTTTGGAGGTAAATTATAGAGCCCTGGGAGTTTCTTTCTGACCAGTTTGGTTTTACCAGCACTTCTGTAAAAGTAAGCAAAGTTAAGGAAAAAACAGACTTGATTTAATCAGGAGCAGGTGCATTGTCTTAAGATTATACAGGAAAGAAGTAAATCAGCTTGGTAATGGAGTAGTCCATCTTTGGACTTAGGTGTAGCAAACCGTGGGAAAGTTAAATCTCTGGGCATTGAAGCCATTAGCGCTCATTCATCAAATTTTGTTCAGGGTGGAAAAATTTAGGAGGCTTGCTTGTCTTCCAAACAGTGTGCGTTTTATTCGAACAGATGAAACGGACAGTAATCATTCAATAACCTTCTTGTGTCTGAACAAATGAAACAAATGATGTTGTGTGGACTGTGACAGCAATCGTTTTCTGTCCTTGCCCTCCATCATTTGGAGTATCATGTGCTTCCCATGGACGGCTGTACCCTGCTCTTGGAGTTTCTGGAGACAGAGAACACAGTGGGGCAGGAACTGCTGGTAACGACTTCTTGTAATGTTTTCTAAGCAACTGAAAAAGAAGAAACAATAAAGTGCAGGGAAAAAAAGCCCTAGAGGGGAGAGATTCAAATTTAAGAGAGTCAAATTTAAGAACTTTCTTCAAAAAAAGACTTTATTTTCAGTCAAAGGAACACCTCAGGGATTTCTAAGGGATTGTAACTGACTTGGTTGGTAATGTAAGAGCAAATTGTATGCCATGAAAGGCTTTTCTGAAGGGAGGTGGGTATCAGCTGAGGCAGAAGTAAAAGAAAGGGAAATAATCAGATGTGGTGAGAAAATATCACCCGATCTGTGAAATAAATGTTGGGCAGAGTTGTACCTGTGGCGTAGTAGAGCTGCAGTTCTACTCTCCTAAGCTAGGTGAAAGAAATTTTAGGATAAAGCAACCCTGTGTTATAATACCTTAAAACTGGAATCCTTTGTTTGACTCGCAGCCTGTTTGAGCCATGAATCACTGTTTCTTCTGGTCGTTAGTAAAACAGAACTTAATTTGGCCTGGGCACCGTACAGATGGAACATGATTGGTAATGCTGTATACATTCACTTCTGATGACTTTATAAATACCAGATGAAATCATTTTGCTTCCTTCCAGACAAGGCAGAGGGCAATATATGCTCTTTAATGAAAATCAGTCTAGCTGGTTGTTGGATGACGCCCTGCATAATTCTGACCTGAAAGAATATGGTTTCATGTGAGCAGATAAAACTGTTCGTTTTGAGCTGTTCATTTGTTTAATTCACTGATTCATTAGTTGTTTATTGTTCATGTTCACAGCAGAGATTTGTAGAAAGAAAGCCACTTTCTGGAAAAAAAAAAAATCCAATTATGGTTAGGTGATGGCTTCTCTAATCTCTCATTACACGTCTCTCTTCTTAGAGAATGAATTCTCAAACTGAAGAACTTGAACTGAAGCTGTATAAATATTTAATCTTTTAAAGACATTCTTCCTCTTGGTTATTAGCAAAGCCAAATATTCTTCAAAATGAACAAAAGATTGGATTTTCAGTTAGTCAAAAACCCTTCCCTCTCCGTTGTTCTCTCTTTAATGTTTGTCATATTGAATACATAGTAGCCATTGTCTTGTGAGATAGAAAGGATGCAAATACATAAGGAATGAACAGCTGTTTTTTCTTTGTTTTTACTAGTGATTTCACCAACCATTTTAAACAAAAAGCAGCAAAAGTAGAGATGCAAGCAATCTAGTTATTTCTTTTCCTTTCTTTTCAAGCAGCCCTTCCTTTTGTCTTTTGATTCCAGGTTGTCCATATTTTAATTTTCTGGTTGATAATATAATTACACTTTTCGGTATAGAACAGCATGAAATTTTGTGAGACGCTAATTCTCTATGTGAAGTTGAATGTGTCCTGAGAAGTTACAACATTTTCAGTTCTCTTCTGGAGAGCGCTGGGTTTGAAATGTATTTTTCAATAGCACCTTTCATGCAAGCGATATGCCAAGATGGTAATGTAGCAGCAATTTTAACAGGATTTCTATACCATTCCTCAATGTTTTGTGGGCAAGCAAAAGGCAGAGTGCCAGTGCTAAAGAGTGGGAGAACCACTTTTAACTCGTTAGCGCTCAGTTCAGGAAACAGTTAATTAAAGAGATCTGCATGGTGACTGTGTCTCTCTGACTGCCTCCAGCGAGCTGAGTGCTGAGGTCCAGGGATAGTCCTCTTAGCTACATTCCCAGCAGTAAAGGAGCCTCTCACACTGTAGAGATTTTGAGTCGGGAGGATTAGTGGTAGCAGGCAGTTAGTAAGAGAAGGCAAGGCAAGCTGGAAGGAATTAGGGGAAGAATCTCCCTGTGAGGCGAAAGGCCCAGCAGGGTGAAAGGAACAGTAAATGTTTAATGTCAATAAAATAACCTGTTGAGCATGAAACTCAGGTTTAAGAGCTATCTGCTATCCAGACTGCTTCCCGCAATTTGTTCTGGAAAACTTCAGGCCTGTGGTGCTAGAGAACGCAGATGTGGAGCCTGAGCTGCCCTGAGGAGGTAAGGGGCTCTTCCAGACTCTGCCTGACCCCTTGCAGGGCAGAGCTGTTGCCAGAGAAGGGTGAAGTTCAGGTTCTTGGAGGTGATTGTTGAGGTGAAACCATGCTGCTCACTGTGAGGAGAGGTGGAAGAGAGATGCCTGATGGAGTGAAAACTCTCTCCTTAGAAGGAGTGAGAAATGACCTCTGTAGAGAAGGGAGGAAAAAGAAAAAAAAAAAAAAAAGCGTTATAAAGTGAGATCAGCATAGATATGATTCATGCAATAACAGAGGGGAGGGGAAGGGCCTGGCTAGCACAGCAGGAGAGAGCCTTCCAAGGGAAGAAAGCAAGGAGATAAGAGAAGAGCCAGAGCCGCTGCAAAAAAGACTCTCTCCATAGGGATTTAGCAGTCAGCTTGCTTCTTTTGGGCCTCTCCTCCTAGGAGAATAATGCAAAAAAGCATGGCAAGAAAATTCTATGTAACAGAGACCCGAAATTTGGAGGCTGTGACTACTGAGGCTTACTGAGGCTAAATAGGTGGCTCATCTGTAGACAGACAGCTTAAGCCATCTGTCTCCATTCTTCCTTTTTTTTCTGCCACGTTTCTATTTGCTTGTCCAGAATTGAAGTGCAGAGAGCCTACAGATGGTCACCATTAATTTTGTCACTTGATGCAATTTTTAAAGCTCTTTTGTCAACCTTTTAAAAACAGATGTGTGTGTGTAAAAAAAAAAAAAAAAAAAAAAACAAAAAAAAAACCCACCCTTTTGATAGAGGAACCCACTAGAGATCTTCTATTTGGATTTTGATTTAATTTTAGTCTTTAGTGACTTTGATAGAATTTTGGCATTTCTTTTAAGGCAAGTCTCTTGTAGCTATATCACATTTTTTTACAGATTTTTGAAGAATCTCTTTGCCTTCGTAGTCTCATTTCTTTGGAACTTTAGAAATTGTTTCATGGCAAATATTTTCTATGCATATCTGTTTTTAGGTAGGTTTCTTTGTGATTGCAGCATGCTCGCATTAGGTGGGATGAATTTGGGCCATGGACTTTCAAAAACAGTCTTCTGCAGAAAAGCCTAGCCGCCTTAATGCTTTCTTAAGAAAGCCACAGGAATGCAAGAAAAACCTCAGGAGCTATCACTAGTAACTACCTGCACAGATTTGAGATCATAGATAATATCAAATTATCAAATCAAGGTATATGGACTTTTAAACTGACAGAAGAAATCCAGTCAGGTTTTTTACAGCCTTCACATTAAACTTGGAGTGCCCTTTTCAAATATCTTTTCCAGAGACAATTCATAAAGAAATATTTAAATTTTTGCACAAGTAAATTTTGGTCTATACTACATATTTTAAAATATATTCTCAGAATATATTTCTTAAAGCACTGTTTTTTTCTTTCTTTATTTGCAGGTCAAAATTTATCTGGTTCACTCGAATTAGCTTTGTTTTAACCATCCTGTAGAAGACAAATATGATGCCAAACAGAAGTAACCTCTCCTCCTTTCAGAATGTTGGATCAGGTAATCAATTAATAAAAATGAAGTTTGTTTGTCATTTTACTTAGATGTTTCTGAACGTGTTACTGACTTTTTTCCTTTAATTCTATTGACACTTAAGATAGGATCAGTGCTCTGTTCTTACTCCACGTCCAACTCATTTTACCATCCAAAAATGAGGCCACAGTTGTGGTATCTGGGATGCACTGTGGATAGTCAAACTGTCTATCCCCCATCAGTTTAATATCTGACTGGAATACATATAAATGACCCTTAGCTAAGAGTTCAGGAAAATAAGAGAAGAAAAGAAATGAAAAGCAAGAACTGGGAGGAAAAAAAAAAAGGAAGGGAAGAAGTTACTTCCATAAAGCTCCAGGCAGCAAATATTTGGCCAAAGAGATGAGCCTTACACTGTGCACCGAGGGTTACTGAGGGAGAGCTGTGGCTGACCCTGAGGCGGGATGGCTCCTGTACACACTACCCGGAGCTGCCTGCCCAGCCTCTGTAACTGTGTGTGAAGGCAGCGTCAGCTGGAACTTGTAACAAATCCTGCTGTATTCATGAAGTCGCATCCCAGACGTTAACTTAAAAATAAACAACGCAAACAAGCTCTGGTTTGTGGGAAGAAGTTAAGGTTCAGTTAAACATGTACTGTAGTCCGGTCGGGGTTTAACCATATGATTGCGAGCACTGTGGTGTTGGAACCAAAAACATAGAGGAATTGGCGTAAGGTATAGTATAGAAGAGTTGAATTCAGATGGCTACGTGAAGGTATTGTGACCTTTTTTACTGTACTTGTTTGGATTTGAAGTACAATGAACCCTTCATTGCTGTGGTGAACAGCCCTGAAAGTTTCCATGAGCTAACTTGGTGTTTGGAAAAAGCATTTAGTCTTCACAGGATTAAATGTATCCTACTGGTGTTGCAAGGGAGTAATAAACAATTATTAAGGTCCCATTAATGTGTCTGCTGAGCTATTAATATAGAAGTCAGTGGAGTGCAAAAGCATTTGAACCTCAGCTATGCTCAAATTATCATTTGGGCGGTACGTTTTTGATTTGGGATTAGCTTTCATATTTAAGAGAGATTTTGAAAAGGGAAGGAGAAAGAGAATAGAGGTTACGTTCTGCTGCGGAATAGAAGGGTAAGTGTACAAAGCATATAGGTTGTGTTTTATATCTGTGCTCTCAAATAACTGTTTCATATCTTATTCTTCTTTATAACACCACCAATATAATGAGTACTTGATCTTTTTTAGATTACTTTGTTTTGTCTTGACAGTCTTATGTTGAACATGGATCACATTCTTCCTTTATGTTCATTTTTACTTTATCATTGCTATTCTTCAAAAGTTGTGAAACTAATTAAAAAATATAAAGTAAAATGTCACATTATACGAAACTGTTTTGCTCACAGCAGTGATAGTCTAATAGAGAGCCCTGTAAACTTAGTGGTTCAAATGCAGCTCGGGTATCATCATAAAAAACATGTTAAAACTATAGCAAATAAAATCATGGTCTGCATGAAAATATTAAATTCTGTGTAGTGGTAAACCTGAGGCTGTGGTCTGAAGCTGCAGTAAATGCTTTCAGCCATTAGCAGAGCTTGTAACTATAACACATGCTTAGCTAGGTCCACTGTGCTCAAAAATATGTGTTTGCTCTCTTCCATAATGCTCACTCCTTTTATCCTCTGCCTGTTCAATTGCATGACAATTTACATTGACATGTCAATTTATGACAGTTACCTTGTTCTGAAATGTTTTTTCCTTAAGAGTTGAGGAGAATATGTCATTATGCACTTATACTTAACACAGTTTGCGTAAGTTAGAGATCATTTTCACAAGCCTGTGAAACAGATGGGTATTGAATGATGCCCTGGACAGTAACGAATCCCATTTTTTTTTGGCCTTATTAACAAAGCAAGTCCCAGAAACAAAGACTCCCTCAAAGGATTCATCGCCCCTTTCCACCAGCTATGTGAGCCTCGTGATCCTCAATGAAACTGGATCCTCTCTGCTCTGCTCTGAAGCTGTGGTGCAGGGATAGAGGGGAATACAAATTGTATGTCTAGGTTGATATAATTGTCTGAAATGGTACTTTAATCCTCTTCTGAGTATCACCTCTGAGGATTTTAAAAGGGCTTTACCTGTTAAGATGTTAGATTTTCCTGTAGAATGGCAGTCTGAGACTAGGTTTCCCATGAGCTGGCTGAAGTCACAGGTGAAATGTGACTAAGCCAAGAGTAAAGTCCAGAAATGATCCTTATTTTCAGAAGCAACACTCAGTGGCACCACAGGAGCTGACACTGAAGAGTGCCTGCCTTATTAGTTTGAAGCACAGCTAGCCTCACATGTCCAAGAAACTACTTTAAAGGTTAATGGTGCCATTTCTACATCAACTGAGGTCTAAGTGCAAGCCTGCTCAGGGTCCTCTTATCTGCCGCAGCAACTGATGCTGTCAGGAGCTGGACTCCTTTCTTTGCTTTCTGGAAAGTGGAACCCGGGACTCTAGGCTGGAACTTGTCATGTAGTTGTATGATAACATCCACCACGACAAAGGCTTTTTCAGTATGTGTCCTCTTTCAGAATATAATTTATAATTCTGAACATGTGTTAGGGACCTGGAACCTTACATGGCTGTTGCTATTTTTAATGGTTTTGTGATTTTTTTTTTTTCTTGGATGAGGTCATGGAGGAGACTAGCATTATACTTCCTTAAGGCTATCTTTTAACTAAAATGCTATTTACGGATGTAGTTATGCAGCTTTGTGTTTTAAAAACATTAGAGCACTAAGCTAAAACACCTTGAAAAATGGACCTCAATATTGTACTTTTCTGTAAACCTTTGCATTACAATCCACAAAGTAAGTGGAAGCATAACAGACTGTTTATGAGCTTTGAACTGGGCTCATCAGTGTACTGGGCAGCAGAGTGCATTGCTTGTACAGGTTAAAAGAGAAGTGGTCCAGAAGTTCTGTGTCCTGAGCTTTCAGAGACATGCATTCAGTTCTTCTCTCTCCTGTCAGCTTTGCATCTTGTCTCTGTATCTCAGTTCCTCAACTGTAAAAAATTAGGACAGTAATGTTCCTTTCCTCACGGACATCTCAAGAGGCTCAGAATTATAAGGGTTGTGAGCGACAATGTTCCTCCGGTGGATAGGACACGAAAGGAAGAATCTAGTCTCTTCCCAACTGTGTTGCTGATTTGTAGTATAAATTTGGTGATGTTCCTTTTCCCCCTTTTCTTCAGTTTTTAACTGCAAAAATGGTTATTAGAAGGTTGCATGTACCCTCCTTTGTCTAATGATCCATGATACATTGATAACAAGCACAATAATTACTAGAGAAAGTGTTTTTTTTAAAGTTAATATGCAGGCAAGTGCATGTAAGAGGGTCCTTACTTATTTGCTAAAACCTTTTTTTTCCTTTCTTCCTCTTCCTTACAGATTCCGGTAAGATTATGGCAGAGTATAGCCACACACAAAACCAGATGGAATTACAAAATGCTAGTTTGGGAAAGGGTTCTGTGATGAATTCACTTGAAAATGGTCTCCAGGATATTATGGAAAACCTCAACCCGAAGAAATATTCGTCAAGTCTCAAATTTAAAACAAATGGGGACTATGCTGGTTCTTATTTAACCCTTTCACAACCTGTGCCCACTAAACCAAATCCTTCCTCCAATGTTAAAAGTACACACTCGATCACCAAAATTCAGGGAGGTAAGCTGTTCCCTTGTGAGAACCCGTATCTTTCAGATAAAAGCATCCCTGTAAAGCATTTGAGTTCTGTATCTGGCACTTCTCCATCCTTCAGCGGGTACAGTTTGGGAAGGACAGACTTTGATATCCACGTCAACAGAGAAAATGAAAAATCGCTTGGACATGTGGATAAGTTTCACTACTCAAAGTACGGTCAAAAAAACAAATCATACGACAATGTCTACTTCCCAGGAATGCTGGACACGAAGAAGATCTCAGGCTCTCTTCTTACAATGTGGAATGGAAGCTCAGGGAGTGAACTGATGCTTTCACCTGTAAGCAATTCAGGGGCAGCCAGCATGCCTTCGAGCCCAAAGCAAGGCAGGAGGATGAATATTCCAGACAACCTGGCCCTTCATGTGAGACCAGTTAAACACAAGGATGTGGTGACAGAGCCTCTGGGTTCACGACCTAGGAAATACTCTGGCGGATCTCTAAGTCATATGGGAATGTACAGTCGTTCCCTACCCAGACTTTATAAATCAACAGAAAGCCAGTTGGTGCCATTAAGTTTGCCTCCGAGAAACTCTCTGGGTAATACTAAAAGGAAAAAAATTGGAGAAAAAGATCTACCTCAGAACGCTTTAGATGCTGATAATTACCTGAATTTTTCTTCTTGCAGCTCAGGGGTTTTGCCACATGCAAGTTCTGTGTCTGAGAATAATCCTTATGTTAGTTCGACTCTTAGTGTTCCTCCAAGCCCTCGAGTTGCTAAAAAAATGCTTTTAGCTTCTTCTTCCTCCTTCCTTTCTGATGATTTTGATAGACTTGGGCTCTCAGGAACAAGTCCCAGTAATTCTTTCTCCCCTGTGGATTTTGACAGATCATTCTCTGTCAGAAGAAACCTTTCCACTAGTTCCATAGAATTTGATGAAATGGATTTGGAAAGTTTCAGACAGACACCAAACTCACTCCCAACTTCTGCAAGAGAGCGGAAGAACAGCATTAGTTCCATTTCTGGAAGAGATGACCTCATGGACTATCACAGGAGGCAGAGGGAAGAGAGACTTAGAGAGCAAGAGATGGAACGTCTGGTAATTTTGCCTTTTCCTTTTAGTTTTTTCTAACAGTTAATGTTAGCAGAACATCCCTTCCAAATCTAGCCATTGGAAGGGTATAGTAAAACATAAGCTGTTGCATTTGGAAATTCAGATTTTGTCTACTTGAGAAACGTTGCTTATTATGGCAGTCCCTGAAGCTAATACTTAAATAGTATGCTGCTTTAACAGCTCAGATTGTATTATTCAGCTTTCTTTAAAAAAAAAAAAAAAAGTTGAAACCCACATAAATTATGGCCATTCATCCTGTGGGCTCTATTAAAATGTCTACCTACATAAAACCCGCAAATTACACTAAAGGGATCCAGCATTTCTGTTTTGTTCGTGGCTGTTTGTTTGCAGTAACGGAGTAAAAAAATCTATGTCTTCGTTATAAGCTGCTTGGAGTCATGCTTGTATATGTGCTACGCTGTGGATTCAAGTATACGTTGGTGCAGGTTTCATGATAATATTCTCTGCTGGATTGCAGCTCTTACCTTCTGAGTGTTTTCATTAAAACATAGACTTCCCTCCTTCCCCCCCTAAAATGAAGAGTAGCAGGAGAGGACATAATTTCTTCCTTTCTGTTAACTAGCAAAAATCTGGAGCAAAACGGTACATGCTGCCTCAGCACTGAATTGCTGCCTCAGCAACTTCATAATAAAATGAAATTTATGTTTATTATTGAAACAACTTTTTTGGGGAAAAAAAAAAAAGTCTTCAGAATATACAAAGAAAGGAGAAACAGTTTCGTATCAAGATTTCCCCTAAGAGGATACGTAGCATTTCTTTGAAAACTTCTTGCAGTGACCACAGAGTCTAACCGATCCTGTTTACATGTATTCAAATTATTCAGATGTTATTGTTCACCAAGAATCTGAGGTCATTAAATGGGCAAATTTTTATTAGTCAGCACTCATCTTAGATTTGTGACAGTAACTTTGCGTGCTTTAAATCAAATCTTTTTAGTTTTGAGGAAAATGAAAATAGGATGCTCCTAAACTACTGTCTGGCTTGTATATAATCAAAGTAAGAGCCTGCAGTAGAGTTCACTTCTTGTGCATGCCTATTCCTGTAGGCCATGGAAAAAATACACAGAGAAATGTGAGGAGAGAGTGGTGGTTGGTCATTTGAGGTCACAAATAAGAGCACAGTGAGTGTGCAGGGTCATGGCCCCCATTCTGAGCCAAACGTTTAAATAGGTTAAGCTGAAGGATCGTAATCTGTTCAAATCTGTTCTTCCAGTCCGATGTATGTGTTTGACACAACCTCATTTGCGAGAAATTTTTTATGAGGGCAAAGTCCTTCATTTTCATCATTGTTCTGTTCAGAAGTATATTCTAGAAAATATACGTTACTGGTTTGCAAGACATTGTAAAAATGCAGCGTGGCATGCTTCAAGTCAGACATCTGAAATTCAGGCCCAGATTTAACAAAGTAGTGGGTGTTGCCTCCTCTCCCCACTTCCATTTGATGTTACGAAATGTGCTTTTCCACATTACGTTATGCAGTTGCCACTGGAAACGTTCGCAGACTCCATCTGAAGCTGTGGCTTCTGGTTCCTCAGAAACACCAGAGAGATTTTTAAAGGGCGAGGAGAGTCAGTTGCAAGTAGAAATGATTAGATAGCTGAGAAGAAGTTGTTACCCTTTACATGTAAAAGCAAAAAGTATTAGCAGAAATGCTTACCGATAATTCCTCTTTCTTCCTGCTGTCTCTTCCCTCCCGCTATTTGACTCCATTTTGAAATTTCCTCTCTTCCAGTCCTTTGGAAAACAGGATCGTAATGTTTTTGTGTGTGTAGAGTGGTTTTCTTATTATCAGAGGGTTTTTCAATCAGTAATGCTGTAAATGTGAGAGGTAATCAGCCATAAAAGACAACACAGTACAGTGTAGTTATATTTCAAGGGGCAACTCTTTTGTGGTGAGGGACTGAAGATATTAGGAGGTTGTTTCTGCATTCGGTAATGCTAAAATTTGTCCTGGTTTTATATGTGGATGGATGTAATGACTAAGTTTTTTTCCTGCTTCCCAGAACAATACTTTTTACAAGTCCTGATGCTTTAGCAAGACAGTTTGTCTGTTTTTTCCCAGCATGTTAAATTTTTTGAAAAAAGATTTTGTTTGTTGCATATAGTTTAAACAGGAATTTCTTCCTGCTTTAGTTCATCTTCTCTTCAGGATCCTGCTAAATTCCGTTTTTCCCTTGTTTTATCTGGTTGAAGAGTTGACAATCAGGACAGTGCCTCATCCCAATGGTCAAAGAGTGTGAATAACCCCCAAAATTGATTTTCAGATCTTTGCGAGGAAGGAGTGTATTTGTAAATTATCCACTCTGTTAATATTTCTCTAGAAGCCCCCCATTAGTCCTTTGTACATGCAGGGCCTGACCTGTTTTTTTTTCTGGGGGGCTTTCTGAATGGATGGAACTCACTCATCTATCTGAACAGGGTCTTCACTTATCCAGCCTGAGTTTCCAAAGAGCAGCTTTGTCCGACTTCACTGGGACATCGCATGGACAAAGGTTAGAGATGCACCAGGTGTGCTCAGGCCAGCTTCTGGGGGAAGAAAAATCAGAAAAAACAACCAACCAACTAAACAAAAAAAACCCAAACAAGTGCTCTTCAACAGCAAGAACATGTGTTTTGGAATCTAAGTGCTGAATAGAAATCCAGGTTGAGTAACTGGTAGATAAATGGCTGGAGAAAAAAACTCCATTTTTATATAAAATATTTGACTCTCATATACTGTGCTGTTGAAACAAGGTAGGCAGAAGAAAAGTTTAGAACTATCTAGAGAACCTTACCAGAAACATGAGCCTCCTTTGGGAGGATTAAGACTATTCTACATTCCAGATATAAAGTGGAGAGCATCTTAGTTTGCATTGGTACTGCTACTACAGCTCCTGCTGGCAGAGAGCAAGTTTGGAGTGTTTTCTTTGCCAGCTGCAATTCACCTCTGAATTTTTTAGTATGGACACCTTATAGTTTGACTGGATATCTGCCCTTGGTCTCTTGCCCTTTTTTCCTTCTTCCCCCCCCCCCCCCCCCCCCCAAATATTTCTGTGAGTTTTACTTATGATATTCTGGAAATCTGTGAAACCTGTGCTTAGTTTGCTTTTTAAGGAGCAGAGGCTTCTCTGGAAGGTTGCATCTGAAGCTGTTGTTACAGCCTGCTTGTGAAACTCAGTGGTCTGTTGTCATTACTCAAAAGAATAATCATAGAAGTTAAAAAAAAAAATTACAAATAATGAAAATATGCACTGCAGTTCTTCGGAATGATTTCAACATCTGCATTTGTTACCCCTGAGCCAAGCAGAAAAGACATGTATGTACTTGGGTATTTCTTTTTCTCACTTTCTTTTGATTTGCCTTTTATGTCTAGACTTACCAAAACTAGCAGAACACTAGTGTTGCTTATATTGCCAACCTGTTCCTCTGTGACCTGAGAAACAGGAGGAACCAGTGTTTCCATTGCTGCCCGCTCTCCAGTTTTACTGTTGGGAGTTGGGGATGCATGGGCTGTGGGAGCAGCTGGGCTGGCAGAAGGTTGCTCCTGAAGCTTGCAGAAACAGAAGACTGATCTGTTACAGTCTGCTTTGGCTTCCTCTCTAGCAGAGCTGACCAGACATTGCATCTTGGTGTAGGGATGTTTATACAAGTTCTATGCAAGTAGAAGTCAGAGTAAGCTGTTGCTGAAGTTATCCCGTGATGCTGATAAATAACAGAAAGCTTTAACGTTGTGGTCTAAGTATATTTGCTGAGATTCAGTTAGTGATTGGGATTCTTCTTTTAAAAAAAAAAAAAGATAAAATCTCACTTTTTTCTGTTTGAGATAAAAGTTGTAGCGGCTACTAGAATTGAAAGACAGCCATTCTGTTCAGCCTTTGAGGAGGTCAGGGGACTGGATAACACAAGACAACACAGATAGATATTACAGTCATCTATTTTGTTTGATACCCACTTATTTGAATAGCACCAACCTTGATGGTCTACTGCTGATTCTTAAGCAGTACAATATATTTCCTCTAGATGGTGCTAGATATTTAAAAATTACTTGGGCAGGATTAGCAAGATACCTTCCGTAGGCCAACTGTCTGTATGGATCTGTAAGCATATGTTTGCAAATAGTTTTACTGCATGCAAGAATTGTACTGGGAGAGATTTCAGCTTATAGGAACAATGAGCTGACAAGTAATAATAAAATTTGAGGATTATTTTTTCCACAGTCAGCTGAGCATTGAAATTCTTTTAAGTTTATTGTGTAAGTAGGAAATAATACAAAACTACCCTGATTCTGGAAAGTAGTTAGCATTGATTCATCACAATGCTGTGCTCCTGTGAAGGAAAATGAAATGAAAACATTTTAGAATATTCAAAGTAGTGTAGCTTTAAAACTGTGGTTCGTAGAGCTTATTGATTTCCCATGCCGCTTGGAAAAATCTCACGTACATGTTTTAAAAATTATTTTGGCACTGTATCTTTTTATAGGTCCTTTAATCATAAAGCATCTAAGCTGCACTTAAAACCATAAGTGAGTAACACTCTTATAGGAACTCTAGCCAGACAGATGAAGGCTAGATCAAGATATTTTTTTCCACTACTACTATGTGGCAATCTTTATACTGTTACAGAATGGCTACCTAACAACTTAATTTAGTAAATGAATGAGTGCCATATAATAGTTTTAAAAAAGCCCTGCCGAATGTCATTAATACTGATGACACAGTAAATTTTCACTTCAGAAATATTCTATCTTTTTATTTTGCAAAATATTTCTGTGGCATCTTTAATAACCCAGAGTATGTATTTAGTTTAATTCCTCTTCAAAGTATGATGAATAACTAATGTGCAAATAGATACATGGTTTTATTTCAAAATAGTATATATATAATTTTTGCAGCTGTATATTTTATCAAAGGGAACAGTATGGGCCAGATAGAAATCAATTTCAATAGATCTTGCCTTAAGCAAGTGTCATACTAAAGCTTTATGCTTTAGACTCCTATCCTTAGTATAATTTTAAAACGAGCATCTGCAGAAGTCCTGTGGGAGCAAAAGGGCATGGTCTGATCAAAATGCAATGTATTAATGAAAAACTGGAGTTTGCTCTTCTCAGTGCTGAAGGGTAATTCTTCATGAATGCCCAGTGATATTCTGGAAACTAGTGCTGCTTTGTCAGGAGTTAAATCCATGCCTGCGAGGGACTGCGAGGCAGGAACTAGTTCTGCAGCAGCTCTGCTCCATTTCTGTCTGGGGACCAGCTCTAGCTCTGGCCTGTCCCACGCATCTTCCCCACTTCATTCGCTCCATTTTGCTTGTACGTGAAGGGGGAAGGCAAGGGTGGGCTGTGACAGCCTGATGCCTCCACCCAGCTGTCAGCTCTAAACTGGGGCCGTCTTTCTACAGCTCTTCTCCTGGCAGATTTCTGTGGACTAAAAGGCTCCCCCCTGTGCATCAGCAGTGAGAAAAATCAGTGGTGTGTGTTTTTTTTTTTTTTTTTTTTTTAAAAAAAACTTCTGTGCTGCAATGATAACCTCATAGCCAAAAGGCTAAAATGTAATAAAACAAGGACCGAAAAGAAATAGATGAGGCTACAGTGAGAAACTGTTGCAAAGTAAAAGGAAGAGAAGGGGAAGAACAGTTATAGGCCTATTTTCAGACATGTCTGAAAGTCTAGCGCTGAAATTAGTTTCTGTCTCAGTATCTGATAGATGTGAAATCATCGGTGCCTTAAAAAATCAGGAAGGAAAAATAAGCCTTTCTCCTGCCTCATGCCGATGGGATACTGAAGGTATTAGTAAGAGAGAAGGTTTGGGGAGTTTCTCCTGCTCCTTTCCCCAGTCTCTCTGCATCTTCTCCCCCTGCCCCCCATCCTCTTCGACTAGCTGCTGCACTGAACTTGTACTGTGAAGCTGGTAGTTTGCTCGCACATGGAAAAGTGCTGTTGATAGCTGAAAAGAGCAGCAGCCTCCCTTTCAGACAAAGGGAGCCATGGCTGCCCTGATTAGCCATAATTCTTCTTAGCTTCAGTCATAAAAGATAGAGACTGCACATGTAATTTTAATGAAATCTTGGGTTATACAGCTGCTAATGGCACTTATCTAAAAAGCTTCCTGCTTGCCACAGTTGATTAGTCGAGTCCTGCCTTGATACCTAGATATGACATCACCTCTTCACATTTGTAAAAGTAGCAGTATATGTGACGTGCACCGGATGAACAAAACCAGGAATCGTTGACATGATTGCTGTGAACAGTGGGAGTTATTTATCTTCGCTATTTCAGAATATTTTTCTTTACAGTATGCCAGAGATGTCTCTTAATGTGGTTGTAAATCGGTAATAGAGAAGGGTTATTATTATGCCTTTATCCCATCCTCCTTCAGCACCTAAATTCCCAGCCATTCATATATGGTATGTAGCTTTGTCAGTGCCAACAGGGGTGAAACTGCTAATGCAGCACGTGCACCCCTCTGTACTCCTTTTCAGAACAGGTAAAAGTTCCACCGAAAATACAAAGAGATGCTCTAGTCCAGTGGAAAAGACATTTTATGGGGAAATATACTGAAAGGAGGCTTAAAATGCCTGATTCAACACCTCTTCCTCCCCCCCAGAAGCAATTTTAAACCGCCTTGCTGCTTTTAACGTACCTTTCTCCTCCGCTGTGTTCAGCGTCACAATTAGCATGTGTAGTATTTCTTGCAAAATCATTGAATGGATTTTCCATGTGCTACCGTTTTTGTATTTTTCATTGCAAGGGTGCTTTCCTGGCTGGCCGCTTGACTCAGAAATTTATGCTGGAACAGTTAGATGCAGGTGTGCTGGAGCTGGAATGAGTTGGCTGAGATGAAATGATGAGAATAGAGTGTATAAAATAGCCACAGAGCTTCCTGTCCATAAGCCTTCTGGTGCATGTCAAAATAGAAGCGAGAGATACCGGCATTTCGGTAATGTGTCTGAAAGTTCATCAGGAATTTTTTGAAGACTGGCAGAGGTTTCCCTGTAACTTTTAAGTTTTCCTGACTATATGCGACTTTTGGCAGGGGGAAAAGAATCTCTTTTATTTGACTGCTTATGAAAGAATAGGTTTGCACTGAGAGCTGCTTACCGTAGCGTTTTGGCTAGGTTGAGCAGCAGTTGCAATTTAAAACTTGCTCTTTCCTATTACTGTTGAGGGAACAGAGGGTTGGCAAGAGGTAGAAAGTGATAGATCCTGTTGTTGCGGGGAGGAATGATGCCTTCTGTTCTGATGCTGTGTTTCCCCTCTATAACCACTGTGAGGATTGTACCATGGGGCCAGGCCTGGTGCTGTCACAACAGCGAGAGCTGTATAATTCCTGGAGAGCCTAGCCAGCACTTGCACAGTGCTTTAGGAATTGGGTTGCGTAGCCAAAACACTTAGTAAGAGGGCGGATACCAGCTTTGGAGGGGTAAGAGAACGACCCGAGGGTCTGGCAGTAGATGCGTGGAGGAAACAAGGCTTTGGGCAGTTAGGAATATGTTGTTCATTTGAAATTGAAGGATGTCTGCAGCACCCGGTGAAA